ATATATATATATACATATTTTTTTCATAAATTGAAACTTATTTCGAAAAATTCCAAATATATAATAAATCTATACTATATCGTTCCGAATTTCGAAATAATATCAAACCAATCTCAAAATAAAGAATAATTGTAATAAAAAAGAATACTCAACTTTCAGTCGATATTCAAGCCAAATATATTCGAAATATCGCAGATCTTCTATAATAATCTTTGTCTCTAGATATATCCATATCTGCTCCTACCTGAATTTGTTTTCTCGTCGAGAAATCAGATAATTCTGAAATCGGTCTGCAAATCGAAAATGAATATGCAAGTCAAATACCAGTATATACTTTTTATATATATATATATATATATATATACATCCGCAAATCGAATCACAGAGGCTACTGCACACACCACTCTTTTCACATCGCCAGTGCCGTCCCAGTCTGTAGAACCCGTTACTACGGGAAATGCTTTGGTAAAACATCCGGATGAATGGGGCTAGCAAAACCCGGGTCAACTCCGGGTTGCAAGCCCCACCCCGAACCAACACGGTTCGATATCCCAATGCACTAATCCCAAAGCACTTCTACAGAAACTGAAACACCAGCATGGCCGGCACCAGAGGCAGAGACCACACCTCGGTAGGAAAAAGAGCGTGGTGAAGGCAGAAGCCGCGAGAAGCAGCCCACGGGTCCGACGCACCCAATCGACTGATCGAGTCGGACCAGTTGGACTTACTGGGTACCCACTCCCAGTATACCCAAACTTGAAGAGAGAAGAGGGCCACATGAATGAGGTGTGCCAGCCGCTCGAGGTCGGGAGAATCGGAACGCCCTCGAATGAGTGCCATAAGCGCGGCTACGTTGTCAATATACCATGTGCCACGACGAGAACGAAAAGTAGAAGCCCGAGCTGTAAGGGCGAAGAGGACCATTGAAAGCTCGAGCTGCGCGATTTTAACCTCCCCCGGGAGAAAGGCATCATATGTATGCCGATCGACCTGTGCCACGAAGGCTTCACGGCCGGGCTCGCTGCCCGGCCAGAGCAACAGGAAACCGCCCGTGCCCTTGCGCGGTTCGTCCTCCGCGGCATCGCTAGCTGCGACGAATCGGGCACAGGGGGAGGGTAGCACCTCCACGGACCGACGCGGTCGCAGTGCCAAGATGGCTCGGATAACCTCGAATGACGAGCGGATAGCTGGGGTCAACTCCCGAGCTGCCTCGTACTGGCGTTCCTTGAGGGCGCCGATGCCCCCTGTGCCAATCCGGCCATACACCCCCTGTTCGAGAAAATTGAGCATGCCATACAGCTTCGACGCCAAGCCTGGAGGCAGGGAGTTATCCTGCTCAGCCTGCAACAAAAGGCCCTCGACCTTGGCTTGGAGCCTGGACCGGACCCAGAACCTAACGATGTGGTGACACCCCACGTCGCGGAAGTCCCACTCCAGCCCGAGAAAGTCGCCGACTGTGCTCATCGGCTGTCGCTTTGCCTCCGCGAAGGGGGAGCCCAAAAGTTTGTTGACCTCGGAGAAGGCGAACTGGGCTGAGCCCTTCGCAGAAGCGGGGTCGGTAAGGTGCGCATCATCGAAATACATAGAGACCAGGACACAGACGAGCCGGCGGCCCACCGCCTCGGAGAAACGGCTGAGCCGATTGAAGCTGGTCACTGCCAAAGGGAGCCCAAAGAGGAGACCGGAATATACCTGGTACGCCGGCTGGGCCCAATCCTTATGGTACCATACCACCACGCAGGCCCTGGACTGGTCCTCGTCCATAGGGCAATGGCGATAGGCGTCCGGCCAGTCTTCGCCGCCGCCTTCCCACTGGTCTTCCTCCAGCAGGCGGCGGGCGACCGCCGGGCTGGCGCATCGCATTGCCAAGGAAACATGCTGGGCCGGGCGGAGGGCTGAGCACAACACCAACTTGTTAGAGTCAGAGCTCAACTCGCTCTGGCCTCCATGGTCCGCGTTGTCGATCACCCTCTGCTTCCCGGAAGCCTGAGAAATCACGCACCTCGGTATCAAACGAATCGGTTTGCCCTTGGTGTGGCGAAGAAGCTCCGACCAGGACAACGGCGCCGAACAAAACCCCGCTTCGAAGTCCTTGGTAGATTGCTCCAGCAAAAAGTCATCGTGTGGGCCTGGCCGAATAGATCCTTGGACAGCTTTGTTGTGGGATTCCACGTTCTCGAAAAGACGATGGAGAGGAATTGTGTCGAATCCCTGCTGCGGGAAGACTCCGCAGGGGAGAGAGGTACCGACCGCGGGCATGCCGAACAAAAGGTGTGAAGGGAGAGTGGTGTCCGGCCAAGACAACAGAACAACAAAGAGACTGAGCAAGCCCAGGTCCCGCTGGGCCGTGACCTTCCGGACCGCCGGAGTCTGGAGCTTACGCAGGTGGTCCCCCACATGGCTCCAACGGCGCTTCAACTCCCGAAGCGGGCCGACACACTCACGCCTCAACTCGCGAAGGCGGCCAAGAGACCCGACAGTCATCGCTGCCGCAAAGTGGAGGTCTTGGTCCAAGACCGGAGGGTGTTCTGTAGGCAAGGGGTCGTCCCCCCTAGCCAAAGCCTGCCGGAAGTGCTCATCCGGGGACAGGCCGAAGGGGAGGAGAGGGGGGAGCGCCGCCCTCCCCGAAAGCGCCCCCGCTTGCTGACCCTCCGCTGTGCGCTGCATCAACCTGCAGGCGGGGTCAGAAAGAGAAGGGCCCAACGCGCCATCCCAGCGAAGCCCTTGTTCCCGCAACCACTGGGGGAAAACAGTGAAAGGAGAACTGTTCACCAGGTCCTCGATGAAAGGAAAGACGAAGCCACGGAAGGCCGAGGAAGGGAACAGGCTGCGGAAAGCCGTGATGACGGACTCCTGCGGGGAGTAGGGAATAACGTGGGCGACAGAGGCTAGTATCTGGGTGAAGGCGGCCCACGCGGCACTCCATGCCGGGGCTGGCATACCCTGCCAGCTGCCTCCACTCCGGCTCGAGGCCAATTGGTACCACACCAGGCCTGCCAGGACGTCCCTTTCACACAAGGAGCCCAAGGGGCAATCGCAGACAAGGGTCGCGCCCTGCAAGTCGGGGAGAGAAGTCCAGAAATTGCAAATGATGTGCTCGACAAAGAGATGCATCCACTCGGACGGGGAGCAGTCGTGCCCTGCAGTGTACGGGGAACACCATTTGGTAACTGGTAGCCTGTGCGAATGGTGCCCGCGCCCCACGTACACATGCCCTGGCGGCAAGGACCGGTCGTGTAACTCGACCTCGCCCACGGCTCGCCCAAGCAGGACCAGGCGGTCCATTCCCGGATCATGTGGGCGTAGGCCCAGGAATACAGCCATGGGCTCCACTGCCCAGTCGGCGCGCGATCGGGGGTTAACGTCCACCCAATGCTCGCGCCGACCCACCGGCTCCACCAACGGCCATCGATGGACCCGGAGCTTCGCTCGGCCACACCTAGCAGCCCACCAGCTCAGGGAGACTGCCACGGAAAAGGCGAAGCAGGCCGTGGGAACGGGCGGAGACCCCTCCCCCCAGGGGTCACTCCCCTGAGGCGGGTGGCGGTGGTGGCACCGAACCGAAGGCCATTGCTGGAGCTCGGCCACGTTGTGTCGAAGGAGTCTAGTATGCCTGTGCACGTCGAGAAAGACGCAGGAGTCATACCAGAGATCGAGCCAAACTGCTGAAGGATTGCTGGCCGAGCCTGTTTCTGGAGGAACCCCCTCCTGAACAACGGCAGCCCCCCTGGAGGCACAGCCTTGCAACAGCTGCTCGAAGGAGTCCGGCGAGATAGGCGGAGGCGCGGCCAGCCCCGTCCAAATGCAATCGGCCTCTTGGGTCAAGCGATCGGCGGCGCCAAGACTTTCCAACCGCAGCACTGAAAAGCCCGGCCCAGAGTGATGTCTTCGCGGTGAAGCATCACCAGGCAAGGGGTCAACTCCCCTGCGAAGGGGGAGTCCGCGACCCCGGGCTCAGCATCCCCCACTGCTGGGCCAGGGCCCCATCACGAACTCCTCGCTTTCGCCTTGGCCTTGCACTTCGCTGCCCCATGGGTGGGCGCACCACAGACGCGCTCGGCCCGGAGAACCACGGCGCAGCGATGGGCCCCATTCGGGCACGGAGGTGCGTGCTTGCAGGACCCTTTCTGGTAGTCACCGCAAAGCTTGGTGCCATCTTTCATCACACGGGCTGTGGGCTTACCTCCCACCATGGGGCCCGGGACGAACAAGGAAGACTTGGTTGGCTCAGTGATCACTGGCTGGGGCTTCGGAGCGACTGGCCCTACCTCCGGCAGCGCTGGCGCCAACCAGTGGGCGTCACGTGCTTCCATAACCTCTTTAATAACTGATCCGAGTGTCCGGGTCCCCTCCCGGAACCGCGAGACCCACTCCGCTCGCTCCTCGGCATCCCGATGCTGAAGCCAGCTCAGCCGCTGCGCGGGAGCGACTTGCATGGCGGCCTTACGGGCCCGGTAGTAGTATGCCAGCACACAATCCAAAGGCACCTCGACGAACTGGCAAGAGTTGGCGCCCAGCGCTTTCTCTCCCGCCGGGTCCACTCCCGCGATCACCTGCACCCCGTTGAGCGCGTATGCGATCATAAGCGTGTGGAGCTTGTGAAGATATGTGTCCACATCCCGAGCGACGACCTCGTCGACTTCAGGCTCATCGGTATAGAGGCCATCAGCCAGCTTGCGCCGCTTTTGTGAGGTGCCTAACTGGAATTGTAGGGATCGCACTCGCCATACGTCATATATACAAAGCATCCTTTTGGAAAGTTCCCGAGAGATGCGGGAGACTGTTGCGTCGGAGGGTTGCACTTCGGCAGGAAAGCGCAACTTGTAGCGAATCCAAAAGGCTTCCTTCAACGTGCGAAGTTCGGAGTCTGCCAAAATCGAGTCGAGGTCGGCCAAGGCAACCTTAGAGCGGTCTTGCTCCGCCTGGGTGTAGTATGTGCATGTTGCCTTCCACGCCCTACGAAGGCGGGCGGTCTGCAACATAGTGGCGTCCCCTAGTCCCAACTTCCCCACCCAGGTACCTATAGCCGCCTCGTTCTCGAATAAGAAGCGAAACTCCTCGAGGTGGCGAATCCCAGTGCCGAGCACTTCTGCGACCACCTTGGCGTCCAAACCGAAATTCATCTGCAGGCTATCCATGCTCGCCTTAATGTCCTGCTCCACTCGAGGGACAAGCGAAACTGACGACATGGGGCCTACGTCGAGGTCGACCCCCCGAAGAGCCTGCACGAGGGTCAAACTCCCAGCCTATCGCCAGCCTCCGCGATCCCCTCGGTCAGCTCCGAGGTTGCGGTACCTTCGAGCAAGGCGAGGACCAACTGACCGGACCGAGAAGAAGAGAGAGAGAGGGGAAAGAGAGAGCAGCAAGCAGCAAGCAGGGAAAAGAGGGTGGGGGCTAGGGACAAGGTGCAGGCACTCAGTCACGACTGCATCACCACAGCCACTGCTCCTACACTCCGCGCCCGCAACCCTCTTTTTCTCGCTCCTCTTGCTAAGATACGGTACCAGCCACGGCGGGCACACGGGCTCTTATGCGGCACCCGCAAAATAGATTTGCTGGTGGCGAACTGGTCGACTTCGAATTACCGGCATATCGTGGCGAAAGCCTCGCTTCGTCGAGGTGCCTATACCGGAAAATACTTGGAGGATGCTCGTGAAAAGCAGCCCTCGCAGATGGGTCGCTCCCATCCGATGGCCTCTAGCTTGCTAGTCGTGCGCTGCGGGTTGGCCAACCGGCGCCTCTCAATACCCTGCTTTTGCTTGCAGATAGGAACGCCTTCCTCCGGGGACTCGAGGTGGAGGTGCGAGCTCGCAGTGGCGATATATCCGCGTGGCTGCACAGGTGTTGGGGGGACACGTGTGTTACGCACGGCCCCGGCCAACCACGAACCCAGGCTGCGGTCTTGCTGGATAGCGCGATCCACCTCGATCTGTCTCACCCTCAGGATCGCCTGGTTCGCCTCCTCCTGGGTCTCGCCTGCCAACACCGCCCGGCATGCAACGCCGGTAGTCGCGGCTCTGTGCCGGCCCGCCATACAGTGGAGTAATACATTGTGGCCCGTGCGATTGCACTGAAGATGCGGAGCCACTCTTCCTCCCGGGACTGCCTGGCCGAGACGTTGAACAGCAGGTTCCGGCTGCACAGGGCTATGCCGCCCCGTTGTTCCGGGGTTCGATCCATACAAGTAATCTGCAAATGGATCGTCGGGAATTGGCCACTGGTTTCCCGCAGCGGCAAGCCGGACAGGAAAAGACGCCCTCCTGCCGGCGATTCCCAAATACAGGTGGGGCGCTGGACTGGGCGCCTGCCCGCCAAATTGTCGAAGACCGCCTGGTTCTCAGCCTCTGTGGGGTCCGGCGCCGGCGGGGTCCTGAAGGCCTTGGGCATAGCTTTGATCTTCGGGGCAGGGGAGCTGCCTGAGCCCCAGCCTGTAGCTGCTGCCGTGTCAACCCGGCGTGCCGGAGCCGGTGACTCGCGCCGGGGACCCACACCTGATCCTGCCCCCCAAGGTAACGCCCCCGGAGGCGAAGCCAGGGGAAGCGGGGGAGCCACGTCACACCTGGCGCCACCCTCCTTCTGGAGTCTCGCGGCCATCACCTTCGGCCGGTGCGTCGGCTGGACACCGTCGGGAAGCAGGCGCTGGCTCAGGCGATTGTCCGGGGACGACATAGCCGGGAGGTAGGCCATATTTCTTGGTGCGGCAGTCCAGGGCCGCATGCTTCCCGCCGCAGACTCTGTCTGTGGAGAGCTTGGTGGCAGCGCACCTGTGAAGGAAAGGGCAGTCGGATCCCCGCCGACAGTTACCCAAGTTGAAGCCGGTGCACAGCCGGCCACCGTCCTTGAAGTTCTGCGACGTCTTGTGGCGACCGATGTAAGGCGGCATGGGGGAACCAGGTGCGGGCACCTCCGCAGCAGCCGAGCTGGGCCGGGCCGAGCTGCTCGCCACTGCTTTAGGCTCCGCCCTGCGCTTCGACCGCAGCTTCGCCAGAGGTAGCACCGGGCCGGCCAAGGACTTGCGTGCAAGAGGGGCAGCCAACCTCATGGTAAACTTCTTGGGCTTGTGCGCGGCGAAGGCGGGTCCCTGCCACAGGAGCTCCTTGTCAGCCCTGACCTGGGAGTCGCATAGGGACTGGGCCAAAGTCGTGTGCTCCGCGACGTCCTGCGGGGTCACCGCATCCCACGTCGGATAGGGGCGCAACTCCCCCATGTAGGCCCACACCAAATGCTTGACCCGAACGCTCTCCTTGTAGCGCAACCCACTGTAGTGGACGGGCATGGCACTCCTCTGGTCAGAGACTCGATCTTGCCAGTCCCCAAGGGCGTTCGACTCGCCCGGCGAAAGCTGCGCCAGCATAGCCACAGAAGGGCCCAACCGACGCCAGCTATAGGAGGTCAGCTCCTCCGGATTGGCCACCACATCCGTGAAAGCCGCCTGCACGGCCAGGGTAGACTCCCTGAGGGACCACGAGAAGCCCCGAGCATCGAAGCATAGCCCGCACTGGCTCCGCCGGCCTTTGGGCAGGGCCTCGAAGGCTTCTTTCCAAGGCTCGGTCCAGTTCCATCCAGAAGCGAAGGCGGCCGGAATGGCAAAGTAAAAACCCTGCCGCAGGCGGCCCTGCTTGCCCTTGTTGCAGAAGGCATGCACGGTGGACCCCGTGATGCGCAGGACCTCGCTCCTGCGAAGGTGGGCATACCGCATGCAGCTGGAGGCCTGCATCCATTGCCCCAGCATCGCAGTCCACCGAGGGTCGCCCATAATGCACCGGTCCTCAATAACCTTCTCCAGGTGGACCAGCATCGGCGGTTCGGCCAAGGTGGCCTGCCGCTCGTCCCTAGGCTTTCGGCGCTGGTCGGTCCGGGGTGCATCCGGAATCTTCCAGGCGAGCTCCGCTTGCTTGGCAGCCCACCGCAAGCCCGCCACGGCACGATGAGGAGCGGCCGAGCTGAAGATAAAGGCGTCCAGGTCCAGGGTGTCCACCTCTTCCAGCCCGTCTCTGCCCCGGGCAACCTGGAAATGCTGAAGCTCGCGGAGGGAAACCACGGCCTTCTTGATCGTGGCCACTTCCGCTTCGCTGCACACTTTGGCAGCACGGCGCCTCACAAAGTTCTCCCACTCAGCTTGGCGTCCCGCGTTGAGCTCACCGCTCGGGCGCTGAACCTTGGCATCTACCCAAAGGTCGGCGAGTTCCTCGACCAATGGTGTCTCCAAGGCAGCGCGCTCCACAGGCGTACGGGCTTGCAGCGGTGCCTTGGGCACGGCTGCCCGCCGCCGCGGCAAAGGCGGGCGAGGCTTGGTGGAAGGTTTGGCCGCCGCCGCTCCGGCTTGGGCTGCCTCATGTGCGAAAGCCAGAGCCTTGCCCTCGTCCACTCGCTCGCGGACTTCGCGCCATTTGGCTGCGATTTCTGCTCCAGCTTGCCTCTGTGCCTCTTCCGCCGACATAAAGACGTAGGCGAACTCCTCGTCATCGGCCAGGCCAAAGGCGCGGCGCCAAGCCTCCACTCGGACCTCTACCGGGGTACCCTCCCCTGAAGAGTCCGGAAGACGGGCCGGGCTGGCTATCGCCATCTCCTGCCGCCTCAAGCGACTGCTGGGCATACACACCGGCCATCGCAGCTGCTAGCAGAGGCCTGAGCCGAGAAGCCGCCGTGGAAGCTGATCGCGAAGGCCGGGCAACGGCAGAAGCAGAGCAGGAGTACGACTCAAGACCGGGCGGGTCGCCACCGGCGAAGACAGCCCCAGGTCCACTCCTGGTTGCAGCCCTAGTCCTAGGGCATCGGGGGTCGCCACCCCGGTATAAAAATATGCCTGCGGTCTCCGCCGCGGCCGTCGGCTCCTGCCGGTCATAATAAAGGGAACGCCCCTTCCAGAATCGCCCACCATCAGAGGCACCGAATGCAGCGGCCCAGGCAGTCTCCACAAGCCGCTGCGTCACACCGCCGACAGCGGAAGACCGTTGGCACCCCGCAGCTGTGGCAGGCTGCTGGCAATAGTCCCGGCCCGTAAGCCACGGCCCCAAGCCACAGCCAGATGGTCCTGTGCGCCCGTGATCTTTCATCCTCCCGGGCAGCCTCCCAAGAAGGGACCTCGACTCCGGGCTCGATCCACACCCGGCTCCCAGCTTGCCACCGTCGGAAAACGATCCAGAGCTCGGCTGAGCTGGCTGCCCGAGGGTGGGTCTGTTCTGCCACCCGAGAAAAGAGCGCGTAGAGGTGGTTCGGCAGCAGGTCGGTAGGCCAAAGGCCCGAATGTAGGGCCGTGATGTCGCCCGGCGACAAATAGGAGCGGCATGCATGGTAAGCACTCCACGCTTGAGCCGGGTCACTCCCTGGGCGGACAATCGCTGCTGCATGTGTGAATGTACCCACAAAAGGCAGCTGGAACCCTCCACGGCTCTGGGCGCACCGGGCACAGTCCGTGACGACACACGGGACCGTGCGGATAGGTGGCAGACCTGCAGGTAATCCGTCGAGCAGTGGAGGGGGAGGAGGGTAATGTTGGATCTCAAGGGCTGATGCCCACAGCCTGGCTGCATCCACATTCCGACCCTCGGAAACCAAAAACCGAAGCTGAGCCCTGAGATCCAGCATAGCCGCTGGGTGCAACACCTGGGCCTCGGTATGCACAGCGAAGCGGCTGATAACGTAGGCAAGGACCTCAGGTGACTCCTGATCAAAGACATGTGCCATAATAAGCGGGTCGACTCCGCGAGCTAATGGCAACAAATCCTGCCTTTTTGGCTCAACTGCCAAGGCTTGAACCAAAAGGCATGATATCGATCGCAGATGATACATGTGCACCCAAGCCTGCCAAACTCTACACATGGTATATATAAATCCAAGTCTACGCTTTTCATATCACTCGTCCCGATAGACCAGAAGGGTTTTCAAACTTATCTGGAATGCAGTTAAACTCCTGCATGAGCCTGTGCTCCAGGGTCTAAATTTGTCTTAACAATATGGCCCAAGTCTGAGAAACGACGAATGCACCAGCTGGAACAAACCATCATAGATCTCCGTTACACCCCTGCGCTGAGCGTTTGAAACTATCCCGTGGACCGAGCCTGGGCCCATCTACTACGCAGTGCCCCCCCCCCCGAACATCCGTCAAGAGCTTTCCTTCCAAAGCCCACGAAGCATGGAGAGCTTCAACAGTCTGTTTAATGAGTGTTCGAGGGCATTGGACGGCTTTTGAATACATTTGAAGCCGTTTGACTGGTACCCACAAACTATGTATTTTGGCTCCAAAGTACCTAAAGAGGGACCACTGGTGACTACTGTAACGCCACAGTATGTATCATTTAGGTACATGGACCTTTGGGGCAACGCGGACCTCCTTCTTGTCGCCTGGCTTCGTGTCCTGCGATGCGGGAGTTGTGTGTGCTCTTGTTGTGGGTTCTTATTGTCCTGCCTGCTAGAAGTCAGAATGCGAGGAGTGGCAGAACCTGCGAGGTGCTGGAGGACTCAACCTTCGAAGCTACAACCCAGATCCACCAACAAATCAGGAAAGCAATGCTTCCCAGAAGTCCTTTGTGAGGGGCCTGAATCCTCACCAATATCATTCCTTAGGGCCTGAGGGCTCCTTATCATAACTATACCATTATTCTAGAACCCAAAACCCTATACGAACTATTAAGACCCCTACATTAAAACCTCGGGTCTCCAGGCCCTCTCAACCGTGATACGGCAGGGCCGCGCAAGGTTTGGAGACACACACACACACACACAACCAATGTCCTGAACCCTTAAACCATCCTAAACGGTAAGCTCTGAACCCTAAAACCCTCAAACTCGCCCCCAAAGCTCTGAAGACTTTCTCGATGTTCTAAGCTTCATATCACTGCTATGTGCGCTCCTTCGATGCATCTTCCTGGCCACTAACCTCGATCGCCTGGGCTACCTGCCAATGCCGGCATTTCGGACTCTGGTACAATCGGGAACTGACATCTCGTACCGGGTAACAAATAATTTAACTTCGAACATCCCCACCATACAGATACTGCACTTGCAAGGCTTATTCTAACTTACTGTGCAAGAAACTGTAAACTGTGTAGTCTCACGGCAGTCTCACAGTAGTTTCTGGTGTTGGGCACTCCAGGGAATCTCACGGTCGTCTGCGGGGTTGGGCACTCCAGGGTGTCTCACGGCAGTCTGTGGTTGCAGGGAGTCTCACGGCAGTCTGTGGTGTTGGGCGCTCCAGGGAGTCTCACGCTAGTCTGTGGGGTTGGGCACTGCAGGGAGTCTCACGGTAGTCTGTGGTCTGTGGGGTTGGGCATTCCAGGGAGTCTCTGGAGGTAGTCTCAGCGGGTGAGGAATAATAAATGACTTTAAAATCTAACAACCCCACACGGAATAACTAGTCCCAGATGTTTGTCCCCGCACTAGTAGATGATGATATGAAGTGTGATGCACAATGGGAAAGGAGACAGAAAAGCATTGATTGCAGAATTGCAGCAGTGTTGATACCACGGCCCTGACAAATGATCGCATGAAAGTTTTCTGAACCCTGTACAGACCCTACATGAACCTCATAAAAATATACCCTGTATAGAGTCGGTGCGTTCTCGCAATGCTTGCTTCTGTGAACAGAAAGCGGCGCAGGGCGACACACACTTGTCTACAACCACTGACCTCGTGCAAAGTATGAAAGCCTTTCAACACGAAGGGTTTCAGGTTTGGAATGCAAAGCGTGCTTCAGCTCTGTTGAATTCGTTAGACCCTAAATCAGAAACATGCTGCCGATCGCAAGCGAGCACAGAGAATGGACGAAATACTCGCCCAATCAACCCCAAGCCTGTCATGTCCCCTGAATTGGACAAGCGCACACTCTTGCAGCCAGAACTTCCGATAACTCCAGAACCTGCCAGAATCTGCCTGGCAAAAGGCTTAACTGCACGAGTCCCACTGCTCGTCCCGCGCCATTGCGCGCTCCCGTCGGACTGAGAGGGGCACGCCGAAGTATCCAGGGTCGCCGCACAGGATTTCGACCTCGAGGATGCGCATTGACGAAAATCGCTAAGAGTCGATGCCGAACCAACGGTGGCAGCTGCAGTTCCGTTGAATCAATTAGTCGTGTTTTTGCTAGCACTGCTGCACATGTTTTCGTACGACCCTTCGGATGCCGCTTGTCGCGGCCCCCACAGCGCCCCAATTTTAGGGCGTAAGGCGTTCAAGGTCCAGCTCAGGGAAACCGAATTTTGTCTGCAAGCAATGTCTTCATTCAGAGCACCTCTTCAGAAATACTGCGCACGTCTTCGTCGTGCGTAAACCGCCTCACACTCCATGACATGATTGAGAGCACTGATTCATCTGCGCACAGCCGAATAATATGGCTCGGAGATCCTTTGCAAGAGCATTGCCTTATGAACGACAGCATAGCATCGTAGCCGGCCTCACCGGGATGTGAGCTGAGCACAGTGCCTAGAGTGCGATATGGTCCGTTTGCCAGTTACCGATTCCAGGTGGTTGCCCTTGACACATTGCAACGGGATCAGACTCGGCTCTGCGAAGCATCTTTTGTGGCGGAAGTGCGCGCATGAGGTACGCTGCTGAGAGCTGCTCGTGCTGTGTGATGCTGCGTGAGCTACCATAAATGTGTGCCGCCTCCGTGCTGCTGTGTGTGCGTCCGTGCTGCTTCGTGCTGCTGGTGTGTATCTGTGCTGTCCTCACCAAAGCCGCTCTTAGTCATCGGGGTCATGGCGATGCTACGCCACGTGCTGCTACGGTGGGCTCTCGTCGATTACTCCGCGGCGGCCTCGAGCAGGCAGGTCGCTGCACTCGAATGCGCTCATTTTCTTTCCCTTCCGGCTGCCTCGATGGCGGTGTGCAAAGTTTCCCAGCCGGTGTTTGCTGCGGGCGGAAACGTTGCCAGGTCTTGGTAAGCCGAGACTGTGTCAAACCATATCAAAAACAAACGACAACAAGCGCTGGATGCAGACGCGGCACAGCCGAGCAGGTTCAGCACGTAGAGGAACTGCTCCATTTGTCCCGCGATGTCGTGGGGGTCGTCTGTTCCACGGCCCAGCATGACGGCCTCGTGCAACCGCGTGGCGCATAACAACGGGCTCCGCACGACGAGTCCGGATGCGGCCAAGCGGCGGCCTCCAGCAGTTTCCCAACCTTACTGGCTCGACTGGCCCGGCCGAACTCCGGGACCAGCAGCTTTACCGCTCGCAGGCAGTTGGCCGTGCCTGCTGAGATGGCCGTGAAGACATGAGACTCAACTTTTATCCAGCCTGCTCCAGGCATCCTCGACTCGTGATAGGAGTCGTGCTCATCCGGACCTGGTTGGGGAAGAAGCCGTGTCTTGTCATGACAGGGTTCCAAACCTGCCAGCAAGAAGGGAGAACCTAGCATCGGCTGCCCAGCTTTCCGATTTTTCACTTGGGCCTTGTCGACTAGAGTCCATCGCCTCTCGTTCATGTTCACGCCGCCACACTGCTCAATGATCTGCATCCTCCTCTGACCATTTCCAGCCGATCTGCATCGCATGTGCAAGCCCCAAGAAAAGCAGGTCAGTCAAAGTCGTGAAGTAATGTAAGTCCGCTCCTGACGACGGCAGGAATCAGCAATGACTCCTGAAAAGCCTGCTCAAGATTGCTCAGGGCTTGGGCTTCACAGTCGGCTTCGAGTCGAGATGTCTCGCACCTTGAGCAGCTGCAGTGCAAAGGCCTTGTCCTGCAAGATTGCGGATGGACATGCAAAAGTTGAAAACGAGTTTCTAGGCAGAAAGATGCGCCAGCAGCATACTATCTTGTCTAAGGTTACACATATTAACATGCTATATTTCAGCTCATTTCAGGTTTGTGTCTTGTTCGGCCCTGGGTCCTACTGTGCGAACGTTTCTTTCTAATTAGTCGGGGCAACGGCCAGCAAGGTGTTTCGCTTCGGTATACAATGATCCCAGCTGCTCTGAAAGACTAAACACGCTTCAAGGATGTTGTACAATTCAGCGCCCTAAACTCTTCACTCTTAAGTTCTTAAATCCTTGGCCCTTACACCTGTAAACCCTATCCCCAAAACTCGAAACTCTGAACTCCAAACTCTAAACCCTACATCCTGCTCTGCAAACCCTAATGCCTAAACCCTGCATCCTGCCCCGGGTACTGCACCCTGGAGACATGCACTCCTCAATTAAAGGGACGGCTATGAACGACCGGCCGGTTGAGGGAAACTGCTTGCGCAAAACCCTGAAATCAGCGACACAAAGACGATTTCGCCACTATCCCAGAAAGGCTTACAGCTCAACCCTGCCGCAGCTGTACATCCAGCTTCCCGCCGACAGCAAACCCATGTGGACTAAACCGTACTACGATGCTCCGCGCCTTACTCACACAAGGGTTTCCCATCCGCGGTCCTCTGGCTTTGGGTGCAGCTGCCGCTGCACCTTGTCTTGACGCCGGCGGAACAAACTATACACTAGACGACGACCCGAGCACAACGATGAAGCAAGGAGAGTTATGTCATCTGCATGCACACAACATCATCGGCAGTAGTAGTGTATATATAAATATATTGTTTTTGACAGAATTCAAGATTCAATTTCTGATAATAAATTTGTATCTTCTATTGAGTTGCAATTTTCTACCCTTTTGAAAATTGTTCAATCGTTTCTGGATATTGTTCAAATGATTTCTTATTCAAAGATTGAAGATTGGGGGTTGAGGCTCTGGAGTTTGGGATAAGATCAGGCTTAAGTTCAGGTTGGGGTCGGGCTGAGGAGGTATCTTAAAGCGCGGACGATGTTTGTTCTTGTAATTACGGGGGTTAGGTTCTCTTGCTTTCCCCCCCCCGGTGAAGCAGCGCCATCCCGTTTCAAGTCGAGCCGAACGACTACAGTAGAAGCCCAAAAGTTGGAAATCAATCCTTAAGTATAATGCAGAGGGAATCGCAGCACTATCTGGCCTCAATCCGGTTTCCAACTTGATGGGGTTTACTGTAGAACTGCTGAACTTTACGGAACCAGCTTGGCTGTGACGCTGTGTCTGTTTCTCTGAGCTCTGCGCCCCGGTCAAAGGTCTTTGGCTTGCCTACAAGCCGCAGAGTCGACAACCTCCGGTAAGCGTGGGTGGAGCATGCAGCCCATGTGAATCCCTTCGTTCTCACCGCCGAGGTGAGACGGCAAGCATTCCACACCCATGTGCTCCAGAAGCTTCTCGCCTGAACCATTGCTCGTCAGGCTTGCAATCATCTGGAGTTCTGACATTCAAAGTTCAAAAGCCTCAGCAGCTTGGGGGTCTGTGGACATAAGAGAGACAAGCCGCGGGTGCGGCTGGCATCCGTGATCACAACTTTGCGCTGGGAAACTGGATGCAGCAGCCTTTTGAGAATTGGCCACAGAAGTGTAGCAAACGACCAGGCCTTGGAGTTCCACTCTTACCCTAAGCTGCCTTATGCTCGTGTGGGACCATGCAGGTCAGACTAGAAGAGCATCAGGCACGCTGCAGATCCGGCTCCCACAACGGCGTGGCAAAAAGCAAAAATAATTAGGTAGTCTAGCAATAGAAACCAACAGGAAATGCATTCCCACGAGAGACCGAACAAGTGGGGCGGAGGTTAATATGTTTCGAGCACGCACATTACAGACAAGCAACTGCATTCACCACCAGAACGTGGTCCAAGGTTTCAGGATATAGGATCACAGTCTGCTTCACGGCCACTGACAGAAATTCGGTGGCAAATCGAAAATGACCACGTCCAACTCCCCAAAGGTCAACTATCCTCGGGTCTTGCCACTCGTGCCATGTGTGCATTTGCCACTTTCCGGCGTGGCCAATGCACTTCAAAAATGGTTGCTCCCCCTCTCGCACTCTGTTTCTCTTGCTTGCTCTCTCTCTCTCGTGGTTTAGCTGTGCATTCCTGTTCCTAAGCTTACCCGTGTCACGTCGCCCTGATAAGGCTCAGAATGACCCGGTCCACGAGGTGCCCCACTTCTGCACTTGCTCGTGGTACGGTGTGACGGAAAAGGCACTCCTCACATCGGAGGAAGCAAAGAACCGCAGCGTTCACCTTGAACGGGGCTGGGCTATGCATATCTCGACTAACAAGGGTGCTCTACGACAGCTGGCCCCTCGTGTGCGAGATGCTATGAATGCTATGATGTCACCGATTGAGTATGATTGAGTCACATCCGTAGCTTTTGTCCGCCACCAGTGCGTGACACACCATCAGTTTCTGCGAGGGGTTGGATGATTCGCACATGCGGCGGTTTGTGCCGAGCTGCATCATCTAAGGAGTGTGCAGCACCGGCGTTTAACAGATCACCCATTGCAGAAGGATCTGTGCCACCAGCGCGAATCAGAACGATCGGCCTTACTTCCACGCATCATTTTGGGATTTCCTAATTGATGGCCAGTTCTGGTTTGCACTTTGCACTCATGACAGGGAAATGCTGCCAAGTCACTGCCCCCTCAGGCCCAATCCATGGTACGTCTGGGGAACAGTCTCTATGAAGGACGACCACAGCTCGTCCGGAAAACTTGGCCTGTCCAAGATTGAGTCCAAGCCCAACCTCACGACGTCAAGGATCTCGGTCAATATGGTGGCCGTGATTCCCGGCTACTCAGCCAAAGCTGTTCGACATGCAGCACCAAGCGGCTTAAGACGTTTCTCTGCGCACTGCCGCAGAAGCTTCAAGGCCTCGCAAAAACAAACACAAGCTCTTCGACACATCCGATACTATTATGCGACCTCTCAGTCAATCAACCGTAATTAAGTTGGCAAATGTACAGTGGTGTCGGTTGATTGCACTCCTTGCATGTGAATCCGAGGACACTCGTGTCTTGCAGCCGTCACCGCAAAGGGTCATGTCCAACATAGCAATGGTCCGCCTGTGTTTGCAAACACGCAGTTGCAAGCCTCTTCTGCGCAGCGTTTCCCCGACACGCCAAGCTGCTTTGCCTGCCAGCAGAAACGCCTCAGCTGTTCTTCCGTTCTTCCTTTTGGGATATTCACCAACTTGCGACTCTGACATCACGACAATCCCCTTTCGAGGAGCAAAGGCACCGCAGCGTTGCAAGCTCGTCTCCGTGGATCACGATGAAATCCTATCAGGAGCCCCGGAACCCTAGCATCCAAAGCCACGTTCCAAAATCTGAGGTGACGAAGCCACTTTTCACTCTATCTGCCTCTACAGTAAAAAAATACTGTATTTTCCCAGCTCTACACAAGCATGCAAATCTGTAGATGCCTTGGCACGAGCGAGCTCAGGATCGTCGCTCAGAAGCTGCACCGTCAAATCAATCTCTTCCTTGCCAGGGCTTCCTATGATCGCATGAGGGTGCTAACTGTAGGGCAGGCCTCAGTGCATCGCTACATATTCCTAGCAAATTTCGACGCCGGTGAATGAGAAAGGGCTGGCCCGCCACGACGCGTTGCCAAGAGAGAGGAATGTTCTTGCTGTACTGCTGGATTTGAGGAGTTCTCCTTTCCTCGACTTACCGGAATGCCAATCTCCCACGCTGTGTTGGCAGTGGTCTTACGGCCCATCTTGCAGCATTGTGCCATCTTGCGCATCTTGTCTTGACTTCGCTGTGCAGCTGTCTGTGCAAATGCTGCCATCTTACACCTTCCCAGATCTTCCTGACATGGTTGCCAGAAGTACAATCAACTGCGGAAGCCCGAGGGGCCTGGGACGGCATAAAATGCCCGAAGTGCGCGTTGACAAGAGGATCATCTGCCAGCATCCCTCCATGCGCTGAAGCTCAGGGAGTCGGAGACTCACCGAAAACCTGATTCAACAACACCTGCTTGGTATTCTGCAGTACAGGCCCTATAGGCTCTGAGTAGACACCCGTGCCGGAAGATGGAGGTCATCTGAGTTCGTTATGCGACTTCCAGGAGCTCTATCATGGCTGGACCTGGAGCCGTGCGTGAAGCACAAACGGTGCACAAAGTTTCTGAAGCACCGCCCATTCGTGATCACTGTGCTTGCCCAGGCATAATATGACTCAACTTTTTCGGCGTGTGCAGGGCGTGTGAGACCGACGTCTTCGGGCAGCCTTCCATAAGCCTCACCCAGTGCGGCATGACGAGCATCACGGACGCAGGCCTCCGCGTGGTCGAAGCAAGCTCCGAGAATGTGCGCTTTGGTCTGGCGCTCCTCGCTGAAACCTCAGCATTGGTCAATTTCAGGAAATCAACTTCGCAGACAGAAGCATCTTTACGCACAGTTTCGCAAAAAAAGCATTCGGAAAGGTCGCTCAGCCCCCGTCTCTGGGGAAGTGGGAAAATTTTTGGTAGAATCCTACCAGCTGGCGCTCCCGAATCACTCGGTGACTCGAGCTCATGCCAAACTACTCTCTGTGTGTGTGTGGGGTTTGGGTCATTCTCGAAGCATCCCTCAAGGCAGGCTCTCCAGAAAATCGCGGTGCAGAGCAATCTCTGAATCTCCACCTCAAGAAGTGCGTGTTGCTGCTTACCCCATCCCCTAAGCAAACAGCATTCCAAGACAGCACCCGAGGCAAAGGCATAGTCTTCAATCCCGTCCGAACTCTATGCAAAAGGAGCTGTTGTTTTACCAGTTACTAGTCGCTCTTGGGGCAGGTTGAAGTTCCGGAAGGTTTCTTCGCAGTTGGAGTTGATGCATAGAGCCGCCTAGATCATACATACTCGATGCTTGTGCAATGCTATACTGCTGTAGACTTCACAAGAAAAGTCTCGCCAAGTCTTGAAGCCGGGCCGTCTAAGGACACAGCCGTCTGACTTGCACGACCCGCGCCGAAGCATGTGTCGAATCGACGATTGGAAGCCTGACAGGCGTGGCTTCTGGCTGTGTGGCATGCTTCGTCTTTCATCCTTGCAGCACTGTGTCGCGACAACTTATGCGCGCCTCCATCTTCATCAAGGCCGTGATAACAAGAATGTCCAACCCTGTCCAACTTGAGCTTCGCAGTCGGAAGGTCACATGAGGTTCGGCATGCAACACAGACTTGAGCAAGCTCAAGCTTTGGCCTCAAAATGTTTGTCACCTCTTGGACTTCTTGGGTTGCAAACAGGTCCCTGAGCCTGGGAAATATCAAGTTGCTGCCAGCGGTGTCTCCACACTTCGAATCCCAAGCCGATGTTAAGGTTTGCACTTGACGATGCCCGGCGCTTAGGCTTTTTCCGTGCCTGTACGAGGCAGCAAGACTCAAAGCTCAATTCACTTTTCTTTCTGCCCCATGCTAAATGCTAGCCAGAACCTTGCTGTTCAGGTCTTTGCCGCTGCGGCTTGCTTCTTTGGCCTTCGACTTTGGCGCTCGAGCCGCCTTTTCCTTCGTGTCCTTTGCACAGCACTCCGTTTTTGCCCTTCTCCACTCCTTGCCTCTGGCATCCTCTAGCAGTGCTGCATGCACCGCCAGCGGCCACACTTACTTTTCTTCACACGCTGTTCCCGAAGGCCGAACTGAGGGAGCTCTCTGGAAGGAGCGGCTGCTGAAGAGGCCGAGCTCTGGCGAACGGCCTCAGAAATGCTAAGCATGACAGCTTACATCGACAGTTGCTCAGCCATTACGGAGGAGCCATGGTGTTGTAAAAAGCTGTGGCGAGGGATGTACTTTGGAACTCAGATTCAGCCTGCACCATGTTGCAACACACGCTGGGCAATGAATGATGCTAGGATATGCCGGATGTCCAGCCTCAAATGCAGCAGCTGCCCAGTAAGACCCAAACGCTTTGATAGTGGCTGCCGCCCACATGATTGCATGCTGGGGCAGCTGAATGCACCTCGGGGATCGATGGAGGCCGGGACCATGCAGCTGCCAAAAACGCTTACCTGTATCAACTTGAAGTGGCCCTCGTCGCGACCCTCCGACCGTTACTGAAGAGGGGCCCACAAATTCTGACATTGACATGGGTTCAGGCCCAGGAGCTCCCAAAAATTAAGCCGCGAGCAGATATTGGAATGCAGGAGCTGCGAGGAGCATAAAAAACACCTGAGTTGCCAGGGCAAAGGGCTCACAGGGAAAAATGGAGATGATATATAAGGGGGAGTTTGAGTTTGCTGTCGCAGAGGAAGCGCTACCAGTAGTTCCCAAACACCGAGTCCTTCCGATCCTCCGACATCTTGCAAGTCAGGTTAACATGCTTCAGCTGCAGTCGTCAGGCATGTTTTTTTCTGTGCAGGCCTGGGTTGTCACACACAACTTGATCAGCCTCAGGTGAACGGTTTCGAGGTATTGTTTGATTTGTTATGTTGTATGTCTACTGCGAGAGTTTGAGTTGCAGACCACCGGCATGATCATGGCCATCCAGGTGAGAACGCCGGACCTGCTTTTGTGAACAGGGATTCACTGAGTGCCACAGCTTCGTAGGATCCAGGTCTCACACCAAACTGGTCCGGCATCCTGAAGCGGAAGCAGCAGCTGCCTAAGAGAAGTGAGGGAGGCGACTCGAAGTTCAGCTCTCTTGGCGTCTCAGGCCGTCACCGACGGACCTCCGGGGACAAGCACAGCAAGTCCAGAAAGTTTACATTCAGGAGATAGGCGCCCAAGAGATATCGTGCTGGCCATCTGAAAAAATTCATTCTTGCCAGGGGTCTGCAAAGAGATGCCAAAGACAGTGTTTGGATTACGATCAGAAGCAGGCTTCCGAGTCTTTTCGCCGAGCGCTGTAGCCAACATGAGCTGAAGTCATCGTTCTCGATGGCCGACTGCGTGGAGAAGAGCCAGGAAAGGATGCTGGATGCACCGAACATGCAAATTCCCCAACAGGGACGTGCTGTCAAAACCAGCCATGAACAGGCAGAATTGCAACGCACTGCAGTGGCGTAGAGCAGTGCGCATATCAAAACCTGGCGAGATGAAGCAATGTGACCGCGATGATAAGCTTTGCCGATATCTGACACGTAAAACATAAAACCATAGAAGCCGCCCAGCATTACTAGGCTTACACAGCGCATGACATCTGGGTTCCGGCTGTTTCGGGCCCCTAGAGTAGTCTTGGAAAAGGCGAGGCAGCTGGTCCATGCAGCTGGCCTTTCAAACTCTACTGTACCCATGTACAGTATGTCGGCTTGTGGTGCGCCGCAACCTTCTGAGTTCCGAGCCTTTGGTGTCAATACACACGCTTGGCACGTCGGCCACAGGTCCGTGGGCAAGACATACTCACCACCGTAACCGCATAAATTCTCGAAGCAAAAGGGCAAGCTGATGTAGGCAACAGCGAGCAGGCCCAGCGCTGCAAAGCTACCTGGATGGCCCAGGACTTGCAAACTGGAACATGCCTCTCATGCAGAATCAAGATTCTTCACAAAGCCGGTGCAGGGACGTAGTGTGGCTTGGCTTCGTTTCTTGTTTGCAACAGTACAGTGGGCACAATGTGTACTCTTTCCGCAGATTTTATGTTGCCGGCCGCCTCTTCAAGGCACGCATCGGCCATCAACCGTTTAATGCAATCCGATGTTCAATCACTCTTCCAAACCCAAACTGTCGAACTACCACGTCTAATGGCTGACGTTGCGTCGACAGGGACATGTGATCTGATGCTACGCATCTAGAGCAAATAGCCCTCAGCGTGGTCAAAGACCAGAAGCTGAAGCGAGACAAAAACACGAAATATCTGCACACACATCCCTACTGTCACATAGCCAAGCTTCAGCACTTCAACATCTGCACTATCCGAGGAAAAGGGTACTGCACACAAACAATACCGTGGCCTCAATAGACTCCGACCCGAACCATGTAACCGCAGAAGCCCCATGCCGCCTCCACCACACCATGTGTCCAACACTAACGCCGCCTTGCCAATGATCAGCGAAAGCAAAAACCATCTCTGAATTGTCTCAGCGTGGAACACGATGCTGCTCCAGGGTTCCGAGAAGAACAGAGACAGGAACATCGGCAGAAAGCCTGGTGCATCGAGCGTTGTGGTGCCTCTACATTGAAGCTGGCTTGAAGCCCGTCCTCCAATTTTATGCTGTCACATCCGTGTTTTCGGTGGCGTTCCCTGATCTGTCCCTGTGGCGTCAGTGTCCGTCACACTAGCTGGGGTCGTGAATCCTCCTCGAAAGGTCTCAACCAGAAAGGTTCCACATCCGAAGGCCGACGATATGCCCCGTAAAGATCCCCGAAGCCGGCAATGTTGTAGATTCAGAGCATACACTATCATACGATGACAGTAGCTAGGCTGCAGCTATCAACTTCACGATAGAACTCGACTGAGCAATTTTGACCTGGTAAACGTAACATGACACAGCACTCCTTAACTTAACTGCCCCTCACCCGACTGCATGTCTCCACATGGCAAACCGCACCTGCGTAGAAGTACAAGGTCAAAATCGCGGCATCCCTCTGCGTGAAAGCCGAGCTTTCGCTCGACGTGTGCGCAGCAGCCGCGAAACAAAAGACACCATAAGCCCAATCTTGGGTAGCGAGCCGATAGGTAAACGAAGTCCAGCAGGGCACTGGCAGCTTCGGCATGGTTACCGAATTTTCCGCAGGCTCGCCAGGGGCAGGAAACTTGTACGTGCGAGGCTCAATCAAAACGCACCAGAACCAATGAAAAAGGATGACATTCGCCATGCCGAGAACAGCCAGGCAATCCCACAGATTGTAGAGCTGGATTGTCCGTAGGGTTACAGCCCGAGCAAAACCCAGCGAATCCAGGTACTGCACCATGTCATGGACACCTGAGGAAAAATCGGCTCATGATGGCTCATGGCTCAACTGGCTCAAGATGTCACTGAGAGGAATGAGGGGCACGGGGTTTCAAGCTCCGGCATGTAATGAACCAACCTACTAGTAACGGTGCATCGGGCAGGCTCAGAAGATTTTTTTCTTGAACACTTCCCCCCTTCCCCAACGCAGTGCGCCTGCGTTTCTCTAGCATTTAACCTGGTTTGAACACTGAGGTAATATTTCCTCTTTTTCACAACAAACTCGTCCCCACCTTCAGCCAGTGCATCTTGTGCTTGTGCTCGCGTTACAAGTCCCTTGGTCTGTTTCCGCAGGCTTTTGCGGTCGACTTTCTGGCTTTCCAGGCGTGGCAAGGCGGTAATTTCCAGAAAGTGCAAAGGCACCATGTACTTGGGCAGCTGATCGGCCAACTTTCCAGGCAAGTCTTGAGCTCCCACGCTGCAGTTGACCAAGAAAGCAACCTGAGCCACTCAGTAAGCAGTAGACGACACATGCCCTAAACGGATACATATAATTTATAGGGATTCTGCAATGCCCGCCAGGGCACAAGCGTCTGTTCGTCCTCTGCCGCTTGAACCACCGCTGCTTCCCGGCAAAAGAGCGCCAAAGCGGCCTCTACCTCGGCCAGCTCTATCCGCACGCCGTGGAGCTTCACCTCACAACTCTGGGCCCAGGATGTTTGCAGAAAAAGGGATGCACAACCAGCTGTCACCACAATATCGGAATGCAAGCACACATGAGTTGAAACGAGAACGCATGCACGAGAATGGGCCCACACAGGTTGTGGCAGGTAGTTCCGATGGGGGGGACTCCCTGCCAGGCCCTGCCTGTTCTGGAAAAGCCCACTGGGTGCATTTTGCCCACGTATGTTGTGTGCATTCTGGTCACTACCAACCTCCACTTCCGTAGCTCAAAGAATTCCACAAACCTAGGACCTATAGTGGTTGAGAATCACAGCAAGACAGCCAACGCAGCGTCAGTTCTTCAAAAGCGGGTTCTGCAAGCGGAGCTGGGAAATCATGCCCACCTCATTTCGGCTTATCATTGACACTGGCTGCCTGGTTGTCAATGCGCCCGCAGACCTCCAGCTCCTTGCCATTCCATTTCCCAAAATCGCCACTCTGGAAGGCGGCGCGGCCGTCCACCTCGCAAGCGCAGCCCCCCGGACACCCCTGAAACTTTCAAAACCTCCCCGGCCTGTCGGAACTTCTGCGCTGTAAGCTCCGGCATATTCAGATAGCAGCGGAACATGATGCCGCCGAACATGACTTCCCCTTCAAGGGCACTTCTGCCTTCTCCATCGCACAAAGTTATTTCAACCGAAGGCTGCGGCTGTCCCACAGGGGCTGTGGCACTTTGCGGCACAGCATGGCAATGCCATGTCGTCATGCCTGTCTCTGTCAGGCCGTAATAGTTGCTCAGATGAAGAGATGCTTGCAAAGCTTTGCTGCAAAGAATCCGTGGCAGTGGCTCTCCAACGGCAACGACGTGCTGCAGCATACTACATGACGAAAGATGCTCCATCATGTGCGTCAAAACTGAAGGCACACCAGCGATAACACGTATGTCACAGTCGCGGATAGCATCGGAAACTCCGGTCAACTGTCTCTGAAACCCGTCCGGCGAGATAAAAACACAACCTGCGAGACAAAGCGCTGGGAACATTTCGTACTCTGCTGTCCTCCACTGGTAGGGCGTTTTCCAAAGAAGCCTCCGGCAGTTGTTTTCGCCTAGATCTGCAGTGAAAGAGCTCACCGAGTGCCAGAGACAACGATGATCGCACACCACGCCCTTGGGTCGTCCAGTCGATCCGGACGTGTGAATCACCATGCAAGTTCGGCTGGGATCTGGGATGCCCTCGCTCTGCAGCCTGATGCTACCCAGATCGGCAGGCACAAAGGATCTTTCAAGCAGGCGGACACTTGGGCCAAAGCTCAAGCTCAAGCCATCCTCCAACTCACGGTCTGCTTCATCAGTCAGAACGAGATTTGCATCTGAGCATAAGGTAAGTCGACGCTGTAACGGTGCATCTTTCGGCACGGGAATGTAGGCACCGCCAGCTTCCCAAACGCCAAAAACTGCTGCAAGAGCAAGGGCCGAGCGGTCCAAGAGCAGAGCCACAAGCACTTCACTAGTCTGTGACGCTCCAGTGTCACGCAGGATCTGCCCTGCTATACTTCTCGCCCATGCCAAGACTTCCCCATAGGTGAAGGTATTGCAGACCTGAAAGACCCCGTGCACGAAAGGGCTTCATCGTGGTTAGTCGTTACTGTGCTCACTAACCTATGTTATTTTGTTGTTATTGTCACTTCTCTTCTCACCATTATTACAGTATTCTCTCAGTTTCGACTCTCAAGAACCTGGCCCTGGCTTGTCAACTCGGCAGCTGCATGGGCATGTCTAGGAGCACGCCGCACATGTTCCAGGACGCTACCTCGGTTTCGCCCGGAGCCCGAGCCGAAGTTTCACCGGACTCCAAGCGCTCCGGGCCGAGAGAGAACACACAGGCACACAGAAGGGGACCCTCAAAGTAGCACCAACTTCGACCGCTGGTTGGAAGATGTTGGAAATTAAAGACATGCGTGGACTGCAACTTCGTTCAATCGCTCGAGAATCCAGACATTAACTCTTGAGGTGTAGTTGCTCTGAAAGTTCAGGTCCGTGCACGACATGGGCAAAAGCGGAATGCGTTGAGACAATGGCGGAGCTTCTATGACTCTGTGATGTTTGCAGACGAATCCTGCTCATGTGCACCCACCATATCCGCAGTGGTACCAAGGCCTGTAGAAAGACTCTAGGCTGACTTCTCGGAGCCTGAATGGGCTATTGAGACTGTCAGTCTCGACAATGCAGCCAGTGGCCGCGCAAAAACAAAATCATGCAGGTCCTTGGGCTTTGCCTTTTTCGTGGACTTCCTCTTCCTTAGATTTGGGGATGCAAACGAAGCCACTCCACTGGAAATCTTCAGCCTTTGTCCTTCCCGGCTTTGCTATGTGTCTGACCTCGACATAGTGCTGCCAGAGCCGGAATCGGAGTCCTGGCAAAGCAACTACAATCGGATGTTCGGCACTTCCGGAACCCGTCGGCTCACCCCATGTTTCATTGTAGAGACACATAACGCTCAGAACTGTCGAATTGTTTCACGTTCTGCTTGCACCTTCTGTGGCTTCTTCTTTTTCTTCTTTGCTGCCAGACTTGATTCCTTAGGCCAAATATGATCACCCCCTATCCTCATCTCAGAGAAAAAATGTCTCAGTGTCTGAGGCAGCACACGCTGGGACAGCTGGAGCTCGAGCTCCCGCCTCTGCGAAAAACATTCTTGCTGGCTGTCTCTCTCTCTGCCGAGAGTTGCACTAGTAGCTTCCCTATCGCACGCGTCCATGTAGCAGTGCTCTGCGACAGGGCCATTAAAATAGGGGCTGTACCGTCTTCGGAATCAGCTCCAGCATGCCCCACCTCATAAGGCGCACGTATCTCTGCACACGCCGTCCGACTGCCCACGATGCGTCGACACCAGTTCAGTCGAAAGGAGCCTTGGCTCCTATGGCTTCTTGCGCTGCGGCATAAGCCTCCCAGGAACTTCGAAAGGAAGCAGAGAGGCAGCAGAGGCAGGCGCTTCCAGAGGCCCTGCCTTGGCTTCTGCCTGTGCGCGCGCCAGCTCTGCGGCCTTGTGAGCTGCGACCTCCGAGCCAGCGCCGTGGAAAACTCCGCAGCCTTCTGTGCATTTTGCCCCCGGGGCCTGCTCGGCCTGAAGTGCGGCAGCCTTCTGCAGTGCAGCCAACTGTGCCTGGAATGCCCCTCCCGGCCCTCCCTTCCAGCTCTCTGTTGTCCAACTGATGGCAGTTTACAAAGACACACTCACAACTGTAGTATGAAGCATGCAGATGCTTGTTGTCCCCACTTGTCTCTCCAGTTCTCTCGACTTCCTGTTACAGCTCTCTGACCGGTCAACCTAAACATGGAGCGTCCAGTTCAACTAGCAATTACAGTACCTGCTGACACCTGTATAAATCCCAACGTGTTCTCGAGATGCTGTCGAATTGACAGTGCCCCGTTGACGAGTATTGCCGATGGTTTCGAGCGGAGAGACAGAGATAAGGATAGATGCAGATGTCTCTTTACCTATTGCGTAAACCTGCATGGACAGTTTGGAATGCACGTGGAGCTTGCTCGAACTCAGCTCGTGTAGTGTGAGCGCAGATGCTGCCAGCAAAAGCCCCACCTCTGCAGCAGATTGCTTGGACTCCTCCTCTTCCCGAATCTGCAAAGACTTTGTCACGTCCCGTGCCAAGCCAAATTTGCGGCTGAATTTGGCTGGGCCAAGTCTCCGGCCACCCACTTCCAGCCGCTGCCTTCGTGGGCCTTCGGTGCTGTCTTGCCCCCCTGACCGACGTGCATGAAACAGGACAAAGAGGCGGTAGGGGCTGCCTTTTTCTTAGGGCGCATCTCACTCCGCTGCCCTGGGGCTTTAGCTTCGTAACGTCTGGCCTCGAACTGGAGCAGCGATTGAGTCTCCCCAATGACCCGTGCTCGCTGTCCTCAATAAGAACCCCGGGCGGGAATCAGCACATGCCGCGCGAAACATTCCTGAGACGTCTGCCCTTGAGACAACCGTACTTGGCCTTCAACATCTCGACGACACCTGTCTGCCACACCACTGCTATCAACTGCACTCTATCGAGATGGCAGAAATGGCATGGCCCTTAGTTTTCGAACGAGCGAGACTAGATTCAGTGACCTACGAGTCTAAGGCTTCGAAGATGTGATGTGAAACAAGCAATTCGGAATGCATGCACTTCCAACATCTATTCTAGACGTGGTCCATCGAAAGACGGCAGACGGCAGGTGGAGCAGGGTACATGGGCTTGGTGCACCTTATGCCGACGACTTCGCTGCATCTGTGGAGTCACAAGACAGAGGCCTGCAGGAGCCGTCGCCCTCTTCGGATCGAAGCGAAGGGCAATGCTAAGGGAAAAAAGGTGCCGACAAGCAGAGCATAAGAGCATAAGAGTACGATAGAAGATGAGAAGCTAAGCCAATAGACTCATTCGAGACATCTGTTTGTCGGATGTCATTCGTCAGAGAAAACCAGGATGCTTCGGCACCTGAAGCCCTCCAGGCACGAATGCTGCTTCAGCAGCAGGTACACTGGTCGGGCTGCATCCTATGGTTTTTGTCACCGCTTAGCGTGGACGGAAGGACTTCCTGCAAGCCGCAGGTGTCTATCGCATTAATTTCGAATTCTATCATTGCGGGTTGGTCATCAATGCCACCGGTCTTGTCTCTTCGATCACAACACAGGCAATGATGAACAAGATGTAGAGGACAGCCATGCATGCGCCGAGGAACTTGTTGAGCTTCCATTTGCTAATCATGATGCTCACCACCGTGCCGAAAACCATTGCTAAGAGCAAACAGGTGTAGAACATGAGGAATGGCGACCTGAGTCGCTCTCGCATCTCCCTCGCTTCTGCGACAGCTTTCAGGCGGCAAGGGAAGGGCTTTTTTCATGCCAAGAGGCCTGATGAAGACGCCTTGGAAAAGAGGATTGTTGGACTCGATGGCGCTTTTCAACAGCCAGGGAATTGGAAGCCCAACCTCAGGTTCTCGGATCTACGCAAGTCTCGTGCTTCGTTCCACTGCCAGTGAACAAGGTTTCAGCCAGGTGACGAGGATATCAAAGATGTTGGAGCCGACCGATGAACTCACGGCCATGTCTGCTTGGCCTGCGCGCGATATTTTGATAACGTGAGAAGATGAGGAACGGTCAGTCATGCTTGATTTCGGCGACATGGAGCCCGCATCTATGCTATGGACCCCACTGACTTGACTGTGTCTTCGGGGCAGCACTGCCCAAGTGCCTTTGCGAGCCACAGCCATGGAGCTCACTGCATCCGGAATGGAGGTTGCTGCCGCCAGGAACGTCAACCCAGATATAATGGTTGGGATCTGCAGCCGGAAATCTTTTCATGTGGCTTTTGGACATCATGACTGACTTGAAATGCTTCATTCGCTGAGGACGCCGCCCCAATGACTGCTGCAACCTTAGCTCCGGCAGTGTCAAAGGACTTCCCCATCTAGTCCAGTCGCCGGGCGTTTGGACCCACGCCACCCCTCTCCTTCTTCGTGGCGACACAAGAAGAGGCAAGCCAGGTTCTCTCTATTCTGAGCTCATGGCAACTTGGGCATGCTGAAAACTGCGCTTTAGGATCTTTTTGGTGGGTTTGGGGGGCAGCTCAGGTCTCGAGAAGGCCGACCACACGACGTCCACATGGGACTAACATATGACGGGCCAACTTCCTCCAAAGCCCGAAGCTGCTTTGAGCGAGCGGACCCAAAAGAGTTAGCAACTCCTCGTCCCATGCCCGTCTCGCCAGCTCAATCCGCTGCGGCAGCGCTATCTTACAACATCGAATGGTCGAGTAATGTGATTCCGATGATACCGCGACAAAACAAGCATAGTACGTGCGCGACTTGCGTGGGCTGTCTGCAATGTTCAGGTTCACGCGTGTCGGAGTTGCTGTGGAGAACTGCAAGCAGGGCAAAGGTGAATGAGCTCTAAACGCTTATGGCATGGTGCCGAGGTGGCTGTTCCGTCTTCGGAGAATGCTTGCAGGGCAGGTTGCGGACCAAAAACTTGCAAACGACATGGCCAGTTTGACTGAGGCGGAAGCGGTCTCGGTCCACCAGACCAGCAAGAAGGCAAAGCCACCAATCCATATCAATGCCAGCCCGAAAGTCACCATGTACAGCTTCGAGCCCTTGGAAGGCCATGGCCTCAGAGATCAGGTCCCAGCGCCGCATGATGCGCAACCTACTGCCCCAAAGGCTCAGCCGTTTGCTTGAGTAGCGGTCTCAGCGACCGCCAAACTGAGGCCGCGACAGCGTGAAGTAGAGCGGCACATAAACCGGCAGGCTCAATACCCAGATGATGGTGCTAAACATTCCCTCCGGACGTTCCATGAAGTCATCCGGTTCGTCATCGTCCTTGATAGTACAGTTTCTATGTGTACGTGTCTGAAAGGATTTCCGAGAAAGGTTGAGTACTTTCTGCCAACAGCTCCTCATCATCTTCGCCGTCTCCTCCACCATCCTTACCATCGTCCTGTCAAACGGAGCTTCCTGCCTTCTCCCGCCCCAGACTGCAAGTTGTCCTTAAAGAAGTGCCCCAGTCCTTCCCAATGCCTTTCTCCTCTTTGAGCTTTCCCTCCAACAAATCTTCGGGCTCCTTCCCATCGTCGTCATCGAGCGGAGTGCTTTTGACAACGACCTTGTCCGGCTCCATGTAATTGTCCTGCGCAGCACACCATGCCACGTACACAGCAGAAGTCTGTGATCTGTACTATGCAATGAAGAACGTGGACACTGGGGAGGAGGCGACGCAAGATGTCGAGTAGTCAAAGCACGGAAGAGCTGCAACTCTGTTCTTCGAAGGCCCACTGACGACGACGGTAGTAGTATTAGTAAGAAGATCTCATGAAGCTTGTCGTGACAAGTACTCGGTCCTTTGCGGGCTTTGGCGGCTCGTCCGATGGCTGAGCTACTGGGGCAGCTTCCTCTACTGCCTCCAGCGGCTCCACCTTGTTGCTAACCTTCTGTCTCTCCTGCAGTCAGAGAAGAAAGCACTGCACCGCCCATGCTCCTTAGAGGGTCGATCTTACAATCTGTGAGTGAGAGGCTCCTGTACATAATCCCTGAGCTCTTTGTTCAGCGGCGTGCCGGTCATCTGGTACCTTGCTGCATCTGTATCCAGCAGAACCCTTGTGCATCTTTTTGGCACTCGCGCTCGACCAGGTCAGGCGAGGTTTGTGGGAAGTGACACTAAAGGGCGTCTTGTCTCTATGGATAGGCCCGAAGAGGGCAGGCAAAGGGTTCCGGTGCTGCTCAGTGCTTCACCCTACCACGAATGCATGGTGGCCTAAGGCCTGCAGTGGCCATCCCAACCTGCTTATCCATGCGTGTGTGTGTGTGTGTGCTTTTTTTCTGTGGTCTGCTGGTAAGGTGGGCAGACACCAGAGCTCGGGCTGCTTCCTCTGAAAACCATGGCATCCCAAGACGACGAGGATTATCAGCCTATATGCTTCACACCAGGTCCGAGGTTTTCTGGACGGTGTGTCCTGCAACATTTGCTGGAGATGCCTCTCGGCATCTCCCTCTGCTGTGCCTGGTGCTCTTTCCAATACCAAGATACGCCCAGACATTCAGGGGTCGGTTGACCAGCATGAAACCCACGTAGATGAGATACATTCCAAAGAGTATCCCGGCCTGACCCATCGGTCAAGTCAAGGACTCAACAGCTCATCTACTCCGACGTCCCGCCTCCCAGGGCTTCACATACTGGTCCGACACGAAGGCCGCTAGAACCGCTAAGGAGATAATGTAGTATGAGCAGTCCTGCACCAATATGTCAGACTGAGTCCTGAAGCCTTGTGCCTTGCGGTGACTTGCTGTTCCGCCGGCGACTGAAGCCCAGTCCCTGAAGAGAGGCCACCATGTCAAATCGATGTTCCCTTTTGCTACCCAGCCACACCTCAGCGCCGGTCTGCATGTACGCACGCACGCAAAGCAGAGAAACCCTCAAGCGGCCAAACTGTCCGACTGTCTTGCGCATCCTCTGCACATCGGGACTCGGACAGGCCAACTACGAACAGGACGTTGAACACGGCAGATCCAACGATAGTGCCGAAGCCAATGTCATTTTGGGCCTAGGCGTGCAAGGCCGGCCCAGCACATCCAGTGTCTGTCGTTTCTGACAACAGCCAAAGCAAAAGCAGCGGAGAGGCCATGGTTGCACCAATTATGGAGGTGAAGAACTCAGGAGCTGATCCCCCAGCAGCCATCCAAGTTGCCTGAAAGCATCACTTCATTACACAGCCTACTCCTCTATACTCCTCTCTCTGCACTCGACTGCAGCTTGGCTACACCAGCCACATCGGGGGTCAAATCCCAGGCATCGCAAAGAAGATCGATGGCACCGGCAAAATAAACATCGCAAACAGTGTTGAGTCCCAGCACCATGTAGGCCTTGGCACTCTTCAGCGGCAAGCAGAATACTTTGTGGAACTCCCGGCTCAAGCTTCACGTGGTTTTGAAGGGCCGCAAAAGCTTTCTGAGCCTCCGGCAATTCCGATCACGTGGAGCACCGCGAGGGCCTTTCTGCCTCGGCTCAGCGCTTTGGGCGGCTCGGCTTTGGGGGCCGCCAGGCCTGGAGGTTCCTCGAAGTAGGGCTGGTTCAGCAGGAGGTCCGGCGGTGGATAAAAATTCCCGCCTACCTCAGCGCCACGCGCATGCCAGTATCCCGCAAAACCTCCGATGCTCCGATGCGTCAAGATGCTGTTGTGGTGGTCTCGGTGGTGGCTATTTGCAGCCTCCTTGGCAAGCCTCGCCACATATCGAGCTTCGAAGGCGGAGGGCGAAAAACAGCCCTGGGCCCCAGGGCCTGTCGCCGCAGCGAAGAGCTCCTCCGGATCCTGCGACGAGAGCCCAGCTACAGGTAACAAGCTCTTGGCGTTTCTGACGGACATGTGTCCTCTGCATTGAGCGACAGCAGGCCAAAAATGAGACCGAATCCTGCCGATGGCCAACTCCGAGCACGTGAACAGATCTGAAGGTCAAGTAAAAGTTTTAATGGAACTGTGTATG